TCATGACAAAAAAACCACGGAGGGGAGTGCCTCTGAGCCATTACGAAAGGATTGGCTAAAAGTTTTCTCAAGCTGAAGACACTACAGTCATTGTGCCATAAGCAACTCTCCATATTTCACACGACAATTCTTTCTAGAAGAGAGATGTTTTGACTACAGAAAACCACGGCCATTACTATCACTTCAAAAGAGCAAGGTGAAATCTTCCCTCCTATCAGCCTATTGTCTGAACGGGATATGACGACTCAATGGTCAGGCCCAAGTAACGATCTAAATGATTTTGCACACATTATATCAAAAGGTAGGAAGTAGTTAATCTTACACGACATTTTAAAGATCAATTCAGCATAATCACATTCCTCAAACTTGTACACTAATGTTTACATCGCTTTGATCGGTTGATTACTTTCATATGCATATTCAGCAGAAAATGTCATCGTCCTGATGAAATAAAAAACAGTGGAAAACATTTCGTAGAATTCTCGTTGTCTTTGACTACAGTTTCACGTAATATTCAGCCTGATTGCGCCGCAGCGCCGTCCTCCACGTATAATGAGAGTTAATTGTCCTGTTCACGTAAAGAGTGACGAATTACCTTCCAGGAACAGTGAACTTCGCAAATAAGAAGACTAGAAAAAGATGGCTGGATCTCGTAGACAAATTGATTAAACAATATCCATTTACTGAAACCCGTTCACCTACCATACGGAAGTCAAGTATTTCTTTTCACGATGCTGTAACCGGTGACTCATGGCAATGCTAGTGAAAATCTGTGAATGGAACCAACGTCACAAACCAGAGATGTTCCGCAAGAGTTAAAGGTGTGCTCTTCAACAACAGATACTTTCGCATAGTAACTTTTGGCATGGTAGCACGTCGAATCACGCTTCCTTTCGCATATAGTTTTCCAGTGGGAAAAATTGATGATCAGGTATGACTAAACACTCGTTTGTATTTATTTCTTACAGAATATATCAAATTCAAAGTCAAGGTCCTTCAAAACAGCATTCACGCTGCAGACATATCTTCCATCTAAGTGCTCTGAAAGATTATCGCAGGAAATTTGTTAAAGCTATAGCTGTTAGCAGAAACATGAGGAACATCGCCTAAGTGCTTTCATTAGTCTTATCGAAACGCAATGGAGTAAGTAGTAGCATTTTGCAGAAATTATGCAACTTATCCAAAAGTAGACTCTTCATCAAAAATGGTACTGAATCCATTTATCTCATACAGTTAGGAACGTCTGGCAGAATTTCAAACTTTAAAATTTTGTTGCGCTGATATTGGCATAAAAACCAGATTGTCAAGGGTTTCCGTTTCCATGCCATGCGCCAGAAAGGTCTCATTTTAAAACAGAGCTAACTCTAGCTATACGGCAAACATAATGTGTAGTCTCGTGTTTCCTTTGCACTGAGTGGCATTCATATACTATCCTCAGAAGGAGGAAAGGAGAGTGTCCTGACCAAAGCTCAAATACAAGACCTCTCGGTTTTGTGTTCGATGGTCTATGGCCTAAGCAACTCCAGTCTGAAGCAACGTGTAGCAAATTATTTGCTGAAGTGTAATCATGAATAAGAAGAACATTATCCCCCGAAGTTCTAAACAAACGTCTTAGGCACTGTGCCACCACTCCGTATTGTCAAGAACGGCAATTAGGCTAGAGTTATTGAGGGTCGATTTCCTAAGTCGCTTAAGAATTTCAACATTGAAGCCTGTCGGTTTCACTGACTGATTCAGCAGGAAAATTCTACCGTTAATCAAGTCAGTTGGATTGAATCGCGTAACAAGATGCCTATGGCTTGTCTTTGGCCTATCATATTTATATAATTTAAGCAATCTGCATACGCAAAGCATAGCCGATTCTCAAAATCGATACACGTGGCTAAGGATATGACGGTAAGGTGGAATGCGAAAGTTTCCCAAGCCCCGATACGTTTAAATTACTTAAAACAAGGATATTCGCAGCGTGGCAAATTAGTACTGTCCTTCTTGGGATTCCATATTTCACTGCTCTTGAAATCAAACGATCAGAAAACCATGGAATAATACACAAGGAGAAATTCAAAGTATATGAGCCGTGGAATCTTGCAATGAAGTTCGAAACGGTGTCATTGTCTGAAAATTATCATCTCTTATAAGAAACGCTTTACGTGGATGATTTGTTATAAAATCTGACAAACTATCATGGCCAAAGAAGGATGGAATGTCCTACCTCATGCCTGGAAGTATGGATTGTATCAATCTAAGTTTTATTAGCATATCCCGCAAAATCCGGTTATGGATGAGATTTTGTCGTTATGGGCAGAGTGCCCACGAAGTAGGTTTTGAATCTGCTGAGGGAACAACCCCTGCGTTAACAGTTAATTTCCTTCAGCAGGGAATTAACCCCACATTGCACCGGTGACACCAGCTGAGGCAAGGAGAGTAAGTCCGTGAAATGTGAATAATGGGACTATTCCTTTCTGTTCATCCCAGAATGGACGAGGTATTACTCGTTTGGTCTCCAATTGAAGCACCCCTTGTAGCTTAACTTCGCTTTGATCCAGGTGACAGATGACTATCCTGTATAATAATCAGTACAAGGGGTAACCCGTGTTTGACATTACGTGCTAATTAACATTCTCTGGTGTATGAACTCACGTTATTGAGATTTGGACAAGAAATCTGTGCACTGATAAGAGGACATATGGAAAGTTCTGTGAGGTATAAGCGAGGCAGGAGCTAAATCTGCTGCTGAGCAGTCGCTTAGGCTAAGACGACCACGGCTGTAATTCCGGTGTGCATACAAAATGGCGGGGTACTATTTCTATCGCTGCTATCGAACCACCGCTGCAAAGAGATCATTCAAAGGGCGTTGTTTCACGAATCAGAAAAGCTTCTCCACTAGAGGATTTCTACAGCAGAATTATAATCAGCCTCATTTAAGAGAAAAATGATTACAGTATAAGTGAGCTCACCCAACAATTTAAAACAGGGCCAAAATACCAAATATTTTATTCATTGCTTAATGTAATGCAAATTAGAAACAAAATATAAGTATGTTTCAACTTCGCTCGAATGAGGTGTTTCATATGCTAAACAGGAAGGACGTAGCATCGCATACGCATTCATGAATGAAAATGTTGTCCACTAGATTGACAGTTCGAGGCTCATTACTGTCATTATGCAGAACTCTTGAATGGCCTACACAGCAACTTCATAAGATTTTCATTTTGCCAGCTGATTCAAACATTACTCATAGACAATGCCATCTAGCTGCACGTTTGTGTTCTTTAAGGTAACGGTTAATGCATAGTTCTAAGCAATGTCATAAAATAATTGTCCTCGTAATAACTTTCTCAAGGTTTTCTATTAGGAGCGTAGAATCTATCATGTTGATACATACCGCACCTGGACGTTCATTGATTCTGTTGAAAAACTGACTCTTTCTTCTGCCTTTCCAAGGCTTGCAAGTATCTTGACTTAAAAATCTGAACTTTTCATTGTAGACGAATTGCCGATATAATGCATCGGCATGCTCTGCTACCTTTCGAACAAGTCCTCGCATGAAGTCAGGTTTCTGGCACTCTATAATCAATAAGGATAGCTAGCGCGTTGTTGACGACGGAAGTTCTTGCGGAAAGTTTGTGCTAAATCGCAGATGCAAAATCTCTGGACCACAGAAGATTACGCGTTCCTTCGTCGATGCTCGCAAAGATGCTCGAATGCAACCAGGTGAGTGGTTACTGCAGTGAACAGTTCGAAAATACTCGATGGTATCGGCGCATTTTTGGTCGTTTCTTTGGCCAGGCATGGTTTAATGCCGCCGAAGGGGCCCATGGGTCAGTATGGTGGAGCAAATCTCAAATTTATTGGCTATGCGAGACAAACAGGAAATCTATCGAATAAACAGTTGTGGATAAAGTTATGGTAATGACAATGCAAAAAATGCAGCGATTTAGCCACTAGCGAGGTTCGTTCATGGAGGTATGTCACAGCGTTACATGAAGCGACGGCATATCATTTCCAAAATGGGCCCACTGAATCGTAAATCACTTTATTGGTCTAAATTTCGGTCGACCTGCTTAAATTGTCCCTAGGCGACTAGAAATGACAGGATGGAGGCGGTGCGTTTTCGCAATGTAATTCCGATATTGTAGACTGAAATATGAAAAATAGAAAACATCATCCTTTGCTTTGGTGATCGCGATCACAGAGGTTTACTAGCTGTTGGACGATCGTTCACAATAGGTGCGATGTGGTTTTGGCAAAGAAATGATGCCAGATGAATGTGGCACGGTAGATGG